ATCAGCCCATTTACAATTCTACTATGCATTAGAACGAGAAATGTTCCCCCTTTGGGAATGGCATAAAGACACTTCAGTCAGTGGCACTGCCCCGGGGGGTTCGGAATCTCCGCAATTTCAGGTTTAAATAAGTATTAAGTCTATAATCCGGTTGTCAACTTGCTACCTACAAATACAACGCCCTTACAAAATCCCCAACGTAATATCTGCCACTGTGCTGTCTACCTGCTAAGGTCCTCGCTTCACTTGTCTTGGCCCGCTAGTATAGTAAGCTAATACTGACATGGTCACCTTAGCAGAGACTGTGCCCACCAATTCGGAACTTCACGGTGATGAAGGGATAGCGGGTGCCCACATCCCTCGCCACCCATCAGAGCAGAGGGGGATAGGACTAACGCTAACATTAGGCCTATAAAAAAACCCAACAACAAACAACTAACAGAAGCATGTCTTCATTATAATTATACACATAAACACCATACCACATCATCACTTATCACCACCACCGCCGTCATTTCTAAAATAATCATTGCTCTCATATCCTTCTCAAACATCTTTTTAATTATCTTGAACATCTGTAGAGACCCATGTAACAGTTATATGTTATAACAATTATGTACGCAATACATTATTGGGCACTATCATACGCACATTTTTATACTAATCTGATGGCGTCAATAGGGGCCCAAAAAAAAAGACTAGTGATAGAAGAAGTGAGAAATAGTGAGTGGAGAGGTCAAACTGAAAGTCAAAGATAGATGAATACACCTAACAAGGTTTTTATGTTTATTTCCAGGAAAGTGGTATTTGGAGCTCTCTTTCTCTTCATAGTAGTCCTTGCAGTGCTCTACACGATGTCCAGGAACACTACCCTAAAGTCATCAGAAAAATGGCGTTCACACAAAAGCGCAGCATCTCGCTTGCATTCATCCAGGAAGCGTATCATGCTCCTCAATGGAACGGCTCTCGGGGAAGACTGGCTACTGGCAGCTGTGGATAAACTTCCTTTCAAAGCAATGACGCCATCGTCACTGCTCTTAGAAGATTTGTACTTCACTCCAAACTATAATATTCAAGAGGATTATTCTGATGGAGCGCTGCTGGAGCCAAAAGAAAGCTGTCCACCTTCTCCAGAATTGATTATTCTCGTGCCATCAGAACCCAAGTCATTCAGTTTACGAAGGACAATTAGAGAAACCTGGGGTTCAGTGGGTAGGGGAAAGAAAACGTGGCCATGGCGAGTATTCAATATGCACATTTGTCTTATATTTGTAGTTGGGGTAGAAGGAAAAGGTTTAAAAACTGATGAGATCAATTTTATTCAAGAGCGCGAAGACCGCACAATTATTCAAAAGGAAAAGTCGAAAAAAATAACAGAACTTCCAGTGGAATGGGTGAATTCAAAGGTAGCACCAGATAAATTTATTTACTACGATGAGAAACAAAAAAGGGATGTTCTGCACATTCACACAACTAGACGATTCACACCCTCACTGTTTCAAAGCAAGAAGAAGTTCATCATACACCCTTCTACAAGAGAAAACTATCAGGCTTCCAAAAATAATTTTAAAGTAAAGAACAACAACAGAAAAATAAATCAGTTTATGGGGAAAAGAATTCGAAGAAGTCGTGGTGCTTCAAATGTACGGATAGCAAGAGTCAACAACAGAAAGATGCAACAGAACAATATCAAATCAATACTACAAGAATCAGAGAGATTTAATGATATTCTTCAATTCGACACGGTAGATTCATATAGAAACCTGACCAGGAAGCTGATGTTAGGTTTGCAGTGGGCTACAAAACACATACAGGGTATAAAGTATATCATGAAAGCGGATCAAGATGTGTTCGTGAACATTCCCTTGGTGGCCACGTTTTTAAGAAAATATGGCGAAGAAAACTCGATATATGGAAATATTTATGCAAATTCTTGGGTGGAGCGCACAGGACGATGGGCAGTACCAGAATCTGCTGTACCTATACCCAAATATCCAATATACGCAGCAGGGAATGCGTACATCATTTCCGTAGATGCCATAGAGCTGGTCTTAAACATGAGTGCTCATTTCCCCTATGTGACTGTTGAAGATGCTTTCATCACCGGGATATTACCTTCCGTGTGTGGTGTGAACAGAATAAACGTGGCAGGCTTCACAAGATGGACAGAGTCGCAGCCAGATCCATGTGACTTTGTCAATGACAGACGGTATGTTGGAAACAACTACACAGAACATAGCTTCAGAATTACCTGGCGTGATTTGATTGACAGGGGTAGTGGAAGGTGTGAGGAATAACTCTCTCCCCTGACCAGAGAAGAACAGAGAAGAGGACAACATTTTCCAGTGAACTAGCATGACTGTGATATAACATATATAATATATAGCGTCCAATTACATCCTTCATTTTTAACTTCCCTTCTGCCGCTTCATCTTTTATTAATTATTCTTGTTTTGTTACATTGTTAAAATGAACTGTGAAATTGTAGATAAATTGTTCGACAATATTTGCATAGCTAATCATAAGAAATGTGAAATGTATACAGTTAATGAGTTTAGTTAATATTATTCTTTTAAAACAGACTACCGTATTTGAAAAGTCAACAAATGGTGCAGTAACGCTAAAAGAGTGGTCGATTGTAAACCATTATTATAGTATAATTTTATAGATGTTTTATGTTTTACATCCCCATTGACAAAATTTACATAATTAAAGAGGCGAGCGACTTTGACCCAGTATGTTGGCCAAGCCCAGCTAACTAGAATATTTTTAAAAGTTTTAGTAGAGGTTTTACGGCGATGGCAACTGCATAAGGTCATATGAGCGCCAGAAGATTAGAGGTGTTACAAGAGAGTAACAAACATAAAAAGAAGAAGGGGAGATAACAACGATAGACGTCTCATAGGAAAGAAGAAGCAAACCACACCAGAGCACTCGCCAGCCACCCACAACTAGGACATTCCTGCTTAAAGATGGTGAAACTTTATAAATAACTTTTCCACCAGGGAACAGAACTCATATCTGCATTCAACAGCAACGAGCCTTATGCAGGTACCCATCACACCACAGAGGCCAGTTACAGCAGTAACAGAGCAGTGCACAGACAAAAAGAGTAGAGAGTACAGAGAATCTATACTATAACTATAATATGATTTAAAAAAAAAAAAAATGTGCCTATTGCCTTCACTTTTTTTGTTTCATTTCCTATGTAAACTGATATAACATGCAACATGGTGTAAGGTTATTTAAAGTGGCTGGGCTTATGATTGCACAGTTTTGATAGAGATGTAAAAAAGAAAACTATTCTTTAAAATATATAATCTTAGTCTGCCCCACAATGAAATTCAAGTTTTGAAAATTTCAGAGTGGCATGACTACAGAAGTTAAGGTCTGCTAGTATGAAGAGATTAATCACTTGCCTCACAGTTGATGCAAACCACTGTCCCCTTTCCTCAAGCTGTGGAGGTGTTAAAAAAAAGTTGTTCAGTAATTTCCATCAGCGTTGCTTGGTCGGCCACACAAAAAGTTGGCTATTTTTGTCATTTTCAACCACTCAGTTGGAGAGGCTTGAGGCCAGTTCTAACCATCTACAACAAAAAGGCACGACAAAGGAATAATATTCCCCCATTCTGTTTTGGGTGATTAGGAAAGACAGTACAGTGTCTAATATCTTTGTTGTCAAATATTCTTTGGCAACTGCACAGAAAAACTGCCAAATAAACTGTTGTAAAAAATACTGTGATGATCTTAATCAATGTATATGCATGGGAGTTGAGAAAAACTACAGAGACAGATTGAAAGTCACACTGGTAGATATAAACCAAATGAGGCCCCATCCACAGGAAAAGAAAATATGAGTGTGCCTAAAGAAAGGTACCAAAAGTCGGATTTTAACCATTTTGAGTTAAGGGTTGTATATATAATAGGACATTCAATGCTGAATACAGTGGTTTTCGAATTTTTGAGATATCTCTAGTAGTTTTTGAGACATTGCACATTTTGCGAGGTAGGGTATAAGATCTAATTTTGAGAAAATTAGCTTTTAAGTTTAGAACACATACAAACTTGAAAAAAATGACGAATCAATTGTTTCTAATGTATTTATTCATGGAAAATTAATTTCCAATTTACCGTTCATTTGACATCAATTATATCACGATTAGAATTCAAAGGTAAAAATAGAGGGGGAGAGAAAACGTGCTTAAAGAGTAGTAGATTTTAACACCTTTTAAAAGCAGTTTTCATTATCATTTTAAAACATACCCTACCCTCAAAATAATTTAAAATAAAATATTTAGAAGTCAAATCAATGAAAACTCTTTTAAAACATTGTTAAAAAATGGTGGAACTATCATTTTTTTATCTAAACACATTCCGGTCAAAAAAGTGATTTTTTTGTCTTTATCAGCCTGTAGCTCAAAATGGTCTGTGCTGACTTTTGGAACCTTTCTTTAGGCGCACACACATATATACTGTAAAACCTCGTACTGCCCCTCATTATACTGCCAGCCCCACTTACCATCAGGTTTTGCTAATGTATGAAAAGGAGCACCTATAAAACAGTATTTAAATCTTCACACCGCCAACTGTCTTGAGTTTTGCGGTCCTTATTACAGGTGTGTAAATTTACCCCACCATACCGCCAGAGGTACACACTGTACACAACACTCACTGGTTGGCTACTTAACTATCTTCTCCTATGAGAAAAACATAGAGATAGAGAGAAAGAAGACTCTTGGCTCTGAATACATGTGCATACATCAAATATATCAGCTCAAAAAAAACTCTTTTCGAACACAGATCGATCCCAGTAGGGACTATACAACAGCCCTGCTGTTCTGTTAACTTTATGTTCGTCCCAATGGTGATGGTATAACAAAGTTTGACTGTATGTAGAAAAGAGGTTGGGCATTTGATGATCTCACAAGCTCATCTTGGAGATGGGAGAACATATATATATATATGAGAGGCAGCGTGGTGGAATCAGGCTCTCGTCAATTTTTGGGTATGTAGAGTTGTTGGTATCATCTTAAAGCTTGTTCACTAGTCTTTATTTGGATAAAAAAAATATCCATTTATCTTGAATACAAGTGGAGATATTTGGGAAAGGAGGTGGGGGTCACTTGTTTTCAGAGGTAAAATAAGTGAGAAAATGGCCGCCAACCATTAGTTATATCCTTAGCTTAATAGTCCGTGGTAACGGAAAATGTACATTTTTTGTGCCTTTAATCAACGTTTTTCAGAAAAATCCACACAGAAATGAGTTCTTCAATAGGCATGAAAGTTGTTGAGCCCCCCCCCAAAAATTGATAAGAATTCACAAACCTGCGGAAAAATGCAGGTTTCTTCACTTTGATTATTTTGATGAGAGCCTGATTCCACCACGCTGCCTCACATATAGCCTAGGGATTCAAACAATCAAATTGAATAAAAAAAATACTAATATTGTAGTTGAATGATTTTATTACTACATGGCATTGCTATAACATTCATAACATGAGCCATGAATTTTAATTCCCTTACCATGTTTAACAAATTCATCCATGTTTGTGTACAAATTAAGATTTCAATATGATTTATGCTGAAAAATAAGCAAAATTTCATTGCAAGACATACATTGACAATAGTATTGTCAAACCAGCAATCAAAATCACAAAAATTTAATAATAGTAATGGACTCATATAATAAATATATAAATGTTAATATGTGGTGCATCACAACACTAATCTGGAAAATACAAAGAAAAGAGAAACTTGCCAAAATTTTGAATAGAAAGATATAATCGATCATTGCTTGCTGGGAGACTATCTAAAAAGATGTACTTTATTAGCTATTGGATTTAGATATATATCTTACCCCTTTACCACGAAATGTCCTGACCCGTGCCCTGAATTCCTAGAACAGGGTCAATAATTTCCTAAAATACAATACATGATGTATTAAAAACTCATTCATAAAATAACATTTGACAAAATAAACAGGGAAAAAAAATGCAACTATGTTAAGAAAACAACATTTCCATTTCAGTACGGTTGTTATTTATTTTATCCTTGACAGTAGTGACAATCGGTTTGCACTTGTTAACCATTTATTTTGTCAAATTCAAAATCAATGTAACTGTTCCACTGAATAAAAAAATATGGTATTAGTATTATGCTAGATCGTGAAATGCAATATATATCAATGTGTCTGTGTTTCATTGGGATTGCTTCCAGGCCGAGGTATTGTAGATTTTCACAAGTATTTTAAAAAAAGTTCATTAAAGTTTCAACTGCATTGCATCCCCTGATTCTGAAGTAATAAACAGAAAATCTGCCAGTCGGCAAGTTTTGTACTAATATTGGCTGAAAGAAAGCTGAATTCCTGATCTATCCCCAAAATATGAAGACGAACAATGTAGAGCTAGCACAACAAACCACTCACAGACTTTTACAATCAACCTCTCATAACTTTAATGTGCTGCCAATAGCAGCTCATCCAGGCAACTCTAGTTGTCTTATAATAATTGGATGACGACCATAAGAAAATCATCAAAACCTTTTAGTTTCCAAAACAAAACAACAATAATTACCTCAAACAATAGTAGTCTTTCTAAATCACTGACTGCAATCCCCTTATTTCAAGTAAGACGTACAAAATTACCCCATGACATGAAGCAAACTTAAAGCTATCACTTTTGAAAACTAAACACATTTCTTTACCAGGAATTTTGATTTTCTCCAGTTTCCTTGCCAAAAAAAAACAAAAAAAGGATTTGACGTTCCCACTGACACTGTTTGGATCATTTAGGAGGCAGGCTGCTTTAACACTGCCTGCCAGGGCCAAACCTAAGTTGACAGGAATACAATATTTAAGCAGAAAGACAGGGTTACTGGATAAAAATTCTCCCTTCATGGGAATCGAACCCAGGTTTTCTGCATGCAAAGGCAACGTGATAGATGCTACATCACAAACTCCAGTCAGTCAATTTCCCAGGAAAATTTGACAAAGACAAAGGCATCATAATTGTTGTGATATAATATATTAATGCACTCAGGGTTAATTTACCTACATCAGGAAAGGCAGAGATAATTACGTCATCTTAGGAGAGAGAATGCTACCTGTCACCAAAAAGTGTATTTAATCTAAAGAAATGGAATTAAAAAACCAACAGGCTTCTGCAGAATTAAACATATAGAATTCTTGAGATCATTGTATTACTGCCTGTAATACTTAATTTCCACAGAGAATGACTGTAGTCACAAACAAGAGTTGACTATTCGAAGAAGTTTCTGGCTACAAGCTGATGATTTGACCTTATAATGTACTGAGTGAATGAAATATACAGAAAATACAAAGAACACACACAATTAATTCAATATTGCTTGTGCAGATAGTTGTTAATAATACATTCTTAGATCCAAAAACTGAATATAATATTCCCATCACCCTGCATGAAACAAAAATACTCCTACATCTACCAAATTTACATGGATGACCCAAAAATACAAAAAACAAACAAACAAACAAAAAAACAACAACCAAAAGCATCTCTTCATCTTTTCCTTGTTAACCATATATGTCTCTTTCTTATAAAGACAAACAAGAATGACTGACCATTCAGAACTGTTTCCATTTTTCATAGAAATGTCAAAATAAATGCACACAAGTTTACAGTTAAACTGACTAAAGCTTTGCACACAAGAAAAATAACATGTTCTTCCTAAATGGATCTGTACGATTGAATGAGTTAGAAATAAATTGGCCTACATTAAGATTTAAACGTATAAAATAAAAAGTGTAAAGAAAACATAGTAACACCATAAGACAAGTAATCATGATAGAAAAGCCACTACCAAACCTACCAAAATAAAAAACTAAAACCCACGGTGATGCAGTGGAACTCACCTGCTATCATATATATATATATATACACAAAACCAGGACGACAGGGTCCTTGCAAATGAAATCACGGTTCTCAACAAAAGTAAAGTGAAGTAAAAGAGACGTGCAAGCTAATGTTAAGACAGAAGAGAGACATACTGAGGCGCTGAAGTGAAAGCGGAGTCTTTTAAAGATTATAACAATAGTTTTGGCCTTCATGTTTCAGTCCATATTCCACACAATGCTTTATTTTTTAGAATATTTATCGCACATTTTAAAATGCAATGATCCTCGGCACACAAAGCACCCATTTCTAATAAACCAGCCCTTTCCATTTGCCTGTATGGTCACAGCACGAAGTCATCGTATTTAATGTATTACCTCACACAACTCACACTTTCTCCTTCTGTACAGGTTTTCAGTAACTTTAGTAGTTCGCTTGATATGGTCAAACAAGGAAACACAGTTCTAGGAAGTGTGTGCCTCAACCAGCTATGTACCACCAATAATTTCTTAGGTATGTAAAAAGGTTCTAAAAAGAGGAATTAATACCGACTGTTCTGTTTGAGGTTTTGTTGAACTCAATGCAAATGTAAATGAGTTTTATTGTTGTATTCACAAGTTTGAAAAAGAGATTGTGGAGATTAAAATTTTCTTCTTTTTTTTCAAGCAAGTGTCACAAATACATGTCAAATGAAATTGCAAACATTCCCTAACAATTTTGACCAAAGAAATACATAAATAGCAGGCACAAAATACTTAAAGCATAAAAGATTAATACTGTTAAGTTCATTGCAACAATAGTAAAGACTTGAATAGATGGACAGGCAATGTATGGAGTGACCTTCTCACAGAAGGAGAGTATACATTTGGCAAAAGATATCACAGAAACATCAATATTTTATATCATATAACTAGATCACAGAATAGTTTGAAAAAGTAGAGATCTAACAAAAAAAAGGTACAAGTACATGGAAGGCTGGTCCATGCTTCATTAAGAACATCACACGTCTCAAACATACAAAATGTAAAGATTGTAAAATATGCCTTGAGTAGATAAATATTACTTTCTTTTATGCCACAGACTTGAAAATCACGCTTCTTCTGTGATATTGCAGATTGTAGTATATCATTTCTAAAAAGTTTAACCTTTCCAGGCAGTTTATGCTGTTACAAACCTAGAAAGTTCAGCATAAAGCCAGTATTGCTCTTGTCCACACATGATGCGTCAGACACTGTTTCTTTTTTTTTTTTTTTTAAACTTTTTTTCTGGCCAATGGTCAACCACAGATGACAACGTTTAGTGTGTTGTGTGTGCTAGGCCATTGTCAGCATCTGTGACCCACAGACTGTGTAGCCTGGGTTTCATAGGCTGTATTCATCATACAGTTTAACATAAAAACAACCATGGGGTAAAGACAAACACAAAATGATGATATTAACAGTAATATATATCTCATTGTTTGCTTTTGGACGGTCTATTTACAAACAACAAAAAAACCTGTAACCCACAAAAACTGTGAAGGACAATAAAACAAACAAAAAACCCCAAGGACTATATAAAAATTTGTTGACATAGATATGAACATAATGGAAGCAAATCCCTCAAAGTCATCTTGTAAGCAGAAAATAAAATTCATTCCCATAAAATGAATGCAAGTTATAACAGTTTACTTGTGGACGGAGTTGTGATTCTAGGACATGCAATTAACACTATTTTGCTCCAAAACTTAAAAACGAAGTAAAAACACTAGTCTCCTCCGCAAACTCTTGCAAAGAAATTCATCATTCCGGACAAAAAATATCCAACACAACTTGGGTGGAGAGGTTTTTAAAAATCTGCGTACAGACCAACCTGTCAAGGCAAAACTAAAGGCAGATATCTTTTAGTTTTTTAATTTTAGTAAGAGTTTTACGGCACTTGCAACACAATGCAGATATCTGTCAGGCAAACTTTTTCTGTGCAACATGTCTATAATAACCAATAAAATGAAGGAAATTTGCTACAAGAAGAATTTCTTAAAATATTTCTCATTTAAAAAACTGATCTGCTGAACATCAATTCCTCAGAAGTCCTCGACAGTAAAAGAAGAGTGCAGTTTAAAACTTTTGAAATTATCCAGGGCAGGTCACACAGCTGGAAATGACATTAACTATGCTCTTTTCCATACACAAGACAACAATTCTCTTTAACTTGTTGAGATGTAAAATGAGCTTGTCCCATTAGAGTTATCCCTTTTCAACATCTTAGCACCAAGAACCTGCATGTGGATTTTGGGTCAGCGAAAGCTAATTTTTAATTTGAGACTGAAATTCCATGCATGTTGCTACATAGTCTACACATAGACAGTAAAAACTAGCAACATATTAATACATTTTTAGATTTCAGGGGAGACGTGTCGTAATGTTTGTGGGAAACTAACAAACTGGATCATTCCAGATGGTAAAAACTAATGCAGTAATTCTGAATACAGTCAGTAATTGGGCCAACTTTGTTCACTGATTAGTAAGCTCCATCAAACTTGATTTCTAGGGAGAAAACCCACACAGTGAAATGATAGTACAATGGGCTCCTTGCCAGGCGACTATAACATTGCTGATACCTGTATGTTTTTATTCGATCCTATAAAGCCACATTCCCTCCCTACTTTTCCCCTGACATAAACTCTCTATAACATGTCATTTTGTCCGATGTGGAAATTGTTTTTTCAAATTTCTTCGAGATTCTGTCTTGATTAGATTAGACTGTACAGTATTTGTTACATGTATATATATAACACAAAGTCACCGCCCCTTTACTTCTCCAATATATATTCCAAATCCCTGAAAAAAATAAATCAAACAAAGTTTTTCCTTAAAAGATAGAATTCTCTTTGTAACTTTAGTGGATGGAAAACCATTAAATCTAGCAAGATTTCTGGAACTTATTTGATTGCGCCCAGAAAGTTATAATGACAATATACATCTATATCAAAGATACAAGCTGAAATACAAAAACAAAACAAGTTCAAATCCTCATCTATTTTCAAATTCCAAGTGAAAATAAAAAATAAAGGCTATCCGAATTTTTGTTTACTAATGTTCGAGAAAAAGCTCAATTTGACTCCTTACAAAGTATAAATCCTAAAGTAGGAGTTAACAAAAGATGTTCCCATCTCATAAATTTATCTTTGATACTATAAGATTATTTGCATGGTGTGGGAAGCCTAATTCACTCTAAAATTTTCAGCAACTTGTACATTAGACTGGATATTGCAGACTCAAAAACGTTTTTTAAAAATTACAATAAAATAATTATGAAACACTCTTTTATTGGTTATCATCATCCTCTGTGCTGTTCTGTGCATCAACAACGACTGATTCCTCAACTTGTTGTTCTTCTTGCTGTTGGGCTGGCTCTTCTGGAGCATTCTGATCTGCCACTATCTCCACTGCAGCACTGGCGTCTTCCTGGTGCGGGGTAGTTGCACGAGAACCACCAACCTGTATCCAGAAATGATATAAGAGATCAAGTAAAATTCAATTTTCTGACTTTGTGAGTAAGAGTGGCATAAAACCTTATTTCTTTTATAATTTGCCAATAGATGTAATATGGAATTTCTGTTCCAAAATAGAAAACCTATTCAACATTTTTTTCTGGCTCATTGTTTTATTCAAATATTTTTTTCTTTCTCTCGGAATACCTTGTCTCGCTTTCAGTCTTGGCCTCTGTAAATTCATACATCAGTAGTCTCAAACTGCAGGACAATATTCTGTAGCCCCTACTTGACATTAAAGATGTGTTAGTATGGCCTCACATGCACCATTTTGCCACGGTGCAGCCTTGGATTAAACATTTTCATCACTTATCAGCTACCATAATTCAAGTTCATGACATCTTCCAGTGGTGCTGTTGAAAAGTTTTTAACATGATTTCAAAGTTGTACTTCTTGAAAAAATACTTGAAACCTTTTTGTTATGTGGAATACTTGATGCGGCCAAGGCTCACACAGACTCTACCTTCAGTGGCCCCTTGGTAATTTGAGTTTGAAACCGCCAAGAAGTATTATATCACTGTAAGCCTCTTTGTTCTTTATCGTACAGCTTTCAGAAAATCACTCATACTTTACAGTTCTGATTGAGAGAGTGAAGGACACTGATATACTGATAAGACCCTCATAGACAAAAGAGCACTCAAATTAATAGAAAAAATGAAGATCTTACATAATATCAATCTACACCCAGAGATGCCAACCACAAAAAACCGAAACGAGTATTGGGAATATGAAAATGTGTATTTTCAGGGGAAAATGTGTATTCCCCACAACCGACTGACCAACCAGTAATAGTACAATGTTCAGGGTGTCCACCAATATTTCCTTAACCGTTTCGCACTTACAACGCCCGTATGCGCCCGCGCCGGTGACCCCCGCTCATCACTATAGCGCCCGCCACGGGGGTGTTTGTTTCGTTGCCGCGGGAGGCTTCTTCTTTTACTATCATCAGAAGTTTAACTTAGCTATCTTTATAGAGGAAGAGTTCCGGTTTACTATGGTGTTTTTCATGTTTCGCTAGCACAAAGAGTCACTTTTTGAGTGGGAACAAAAGTCGTAGGAGATTTTAGTTGTAAACACGCCATCATGTCTCTAGGATGCATGGGCGCAAAGCTGCCCGATATGAGTACGGCAAAAACAAAATAAAAACACCCAAAGAAAAGTCTTTTAGGTGCTTTCAAGTTTCCACCAGAGGCTTCAATCTCTGTGAATGTGTTGTATTTCTTTTGTGTGGATTACCTCTTTGTCAGTGACAGAAACTTCGTGAGTTGAAGAAATGTAGTATACGAGGTCTAGATCTAGATCTAGATCTAGACTCGGAATCCAAGACACGCATCTCAGAAAGACCTCTCATATCATTTCATACTCTTCTATTCCACTTACAATTTTGTACTAGTAATTTAGCTCATTCATTTTCCCTTCAGAAAATACTATTTTCATAATTTTTGGTTGTGTTTGTGATTTTATACAATTTTTTTAGTAAGGTACCCCTTCAATTTTCGTGGAGTTGTTGCCCTTGTCTTAAGGATGGGGGGGCCACAGCTGGCCAAGCCTGCTAAGTGCGAAAGGGTTTAAAAAAATTACTACTTCACCAGCTCGAAAAAGAGAGCACACATGCATACAATATACATGTATCCAGTCAACAACATGTCAGTGTTCAATGTCGTACTGGGGTCTTGTTTGACTTAAGTATTTCAGTCTATTATAATAATATTTTCCTCTCATTATTATATAAAAAATAAATCCTGCTTTGAGAGTTTGGAAGGGCCTAGAACAAGAATTTCGACTATCATATTATGAACTGACAGACTCAAATTATTGCTCAAACTCAGAGAAAAGCAACAACTTGAATGGCTCAAGTAGACCCATGCACTGTGAGAGTTGTAACAACTGTGGGAGGGCAAGATGCAGTGACACTGAAAATCTGCCAGTCTTGAACAGAAAGCTACAACATACACTGTAGGTATAATTTACTATCACCCATCCAAGTAGGTATAATTACTTTCACCCATCCAATGAAACGCGAACACTATATTTCAATAACACAGACTTGCAAAGTAAGAGGGGTCCCGATTCCGCACACGCCTGCACCAACGCGCGCTTTGCAGAAAGCTCTAATCAAAATTCTGAAATGTCATTCCAAGTTTTTGTCCTCTGGTGTTGCCTTAAACTCCCCCGATAGTATCTTAAACCCCCCCCAAAAATCAATAATCTCCTCCCCTATTCCGTATTCACATACTTTGCATAGCCGTTACTCCCACCAAAGACGGTGTTTACTCACACAATGCCGCATTTATTTATGATGCGAATGCGCGCAGGTTCAGTGACCAGTCATGATGGGGAGCCAGACAATCTAAAAATCGGACGACGCTTGTATTTTCTTTTCTTTTTTTTTTTCCACAAGTGACAGCCAAAGCGATGAGTCCGAGTAATTATTACATTTTATTTGCACGGCGACATTGCGTTCATACTGCACAACCTGCATGCCACAAATGTTGCATTATCAAGAAAACTGCTGGCAAACTTCTCGGTGGTAGTGGTAGCGAAAGCAGATCTTGATTTCCCCGATCGAGCCTCGGTGTCACATACGCTTCCACCTGCCGCCATAGCAGCCTATTCGCGTGACAGTGAAACGTACTCTCCGGACTGGGAAAAGCTGAACGAATAGATTGTAATATATCACGATCGCGACCGGCAAAAATGAACTTACTGACCACATCGGACTTGGTTTTCAAATATTCCAGTTCTGCGATACTGATACTATTTTGACAAAAGATGAGACTTGAGATAATTAGGTTTACTCGCCCAAGCTGAATCTCGTATTTTTCGGATTCCAGGATGCATACTTTTTCATGAAAGTCGTATTTGCGTATTTTCGGCAAAAAATTGTGCTAAAATATGTAAAATTGTACTGGTTTGCATCTCTGTACACCCAATAGAAAAATGCAGCATACCTGACTGTTCTCTGGTGCAACAACACTTTCAGTCACTCTCCCAGGCATGGACACCTGCATCCTATGTGCTGACCGTGATGAGTCTGGCCGTCCAGATGAACCTCTGGGTACTCTACCAGACATAGGCCTTTGGGGTGGCTGAGGGCTGTAGGTTCGTTTCTTGGGGTGAAAACAAAAAGATTTTTTTAAGTAAAATTATTTTGTTTAAAAATTAATTCAAAGCCCTGTAGATCATGATGAAGACAGAGTATTGGGCCCAGTGGTAAAAGCAAAGGGGATGAGAGAAAGAAGGAAAGAAGCCATTGATGATATGATGAAGTACAACACTTAAGCACACTTCTGAGTATTGTGTGCACTGAGTCTACTTATAAGCCCACCAATAACCCAATCCAACAAACCCCTCGTACACACACACACACACACACACACACACACACACACACATATATATATATAGGTATACATGACATTAATTTTTATGTAGTCTTGGGATAACAATAAAGACATGTAGCTAGACAGTGATGAAATCCAAAGAGCAGAAGAGAAAGGATCTGCCTTTATATTCATTGATTTGTGATGAAAGCCAAAAGTCAAATCCCCCACAGACATGAAATACGAGAGCCACTTGAGGATTTACCTCCATGTATACTGGCTGTGGCGATTGTTGTCCCGTCAGATTTGAGGGCAGCTTAGCCTCCAGCCTGGCTGACTCCATCCTGCCCTTGTAAATGTGGCCATCAGCTCCCTGCACATCTACTTCTTCCCTGACAACAAAAGAATGAAAGTTTGATGTAGTAAACACCTGTGGCCCATGTGATCTCAAAACAGAATAACAAGCACATTATCCACCCTTTCCCATTGCACATTTATGAGGGTGGCACATGTAGCAATTTCATTCATGAGAAAGGACCATGCTTTTTCTTGATTTTTTAAGGACTTCTTTCACTCGTGGCCTACTTGACATAACTAGGTACAAAAAAGTCTCACAGGTCTTTTCTTTTCTTGACTGGACCTTCAGTAATCAGACTGACATAAAAGAGTGAACAGAAGACATAGAAACCATGGCAAAAAGATCCCTACATAAAAGATGTTATGGTGAATAAGGGGAATGCCACCAATACCCATTGCCAAAAGGACAGCAAATTATTTAAATCCCCTGGCAGCTGATACTTTTCTTATGAAGCACAAATACATTAACAAAGTACATAAAATGTCCACACATTGCAAAGCTCCAACACACTTTGTTATTGAAAGTGGGTACACTGAAAGATTTTCTTTAAAAAAAAAAAAAAAGCTGTGTTGTTATATATATATATATATATATATATATATATATATATATATATATATATATATATATATATATATATAATTTTAAAAAAACCCTTAACCAAACCATGTACCTCTCTAGATAGCTCCTCAGTTACAAAGATAACATCTTCTCAATTAGATCTATTTAACAAGTATTTTGGTTGAAACAGTACTACAAGACGTAAGCATACATAAATATGGTCGTTCTGAACAGAATATTTACAAACTAAAACACATAAGGAACAATGTTGCCAAACTTTTACAAAACACACAAACAGAATATAACAAAGATAAGGGTGTTGTAGTACATAAATTAGCTAAAAAAATAGGTATGCAGAATTTATAGTACAGAAAAAAGGAAGAATGCTTACTTGTAGATAGGCATTATTGTCTCCTCTTCTCTGAACAATTGTCTGAAAAAGACCATAAAACCTATGTGATACAGGGGAAATTTGTGCATCTTAAATTAATTATATTATAGAAGGTCAATACTGCTATAGAATGACTACCATGTCAGCCTTTATTCATTTTAAAAACTGTGTTCGTTAAAATAATAACACACGATGAACTTTAAAAAATAATGAAGCAATTTAAAGAGAAAGTGGCTAAGAATGACCAATACATTTACTAATGCTAAATTTAAACCATGAAAATCTATGGTCACGTAATGTATCTATCTAAGAACAACATCGGCAACACTTTCTACTCTGAAAGACAATATTATGCCAGAGCTAAACAAGTTGTTTTCTAGAGGAACTTCAATTTCTAACAAATGATTGTATATTCTGAAAAGCGCTCTGTTTTAAAATAATAAACTAAAATGGCACAATTGGTACCCCAGATTGTTCAACTTGGTTGTTCGCTTGTGTGGGTGTGTTAGGGTATGGCTGCCTCCACACTGGCGAATGGTTGCATAGTAATCTGTGGCCTCTGGATTCATACCAAGACTGCAGAAAGACAAAAATGAATTAGGGGTAAGAAATCGATGAACTGCAATTGGGAGGGGAAAGAAAATTTTGATTCCACTCTCCTATATTAATGTTATTAAAAAGAAACAAATCAAAGTTCACAACTTGATGTACACATATTCAGAGCAAATTGTCTGTTCAAACCATCACCACACATTTAGTGAGTTTCTTATTTTTATTGGGTAAAAAGAAAAAGTAGTACCTTACAGAAACAATATTAGCCTACATGAATTTTAAACTCAACAGCTATTTTAGCTGTCAAAAATATAAAACCTTACGAAAGCTGAACTTGTAAAATCGAACATAGTATCAAATGCATTAACAGAAGATAAGCTAAACTAATTGGGCTCAACACAGCAGAAACATCCTTCATAGCTAAGCACAGTTCCAAATCACAGTCCCTCGCAAGAGAGTATAACTGCTTTTTTTTCCACACAAAAAAATATATCACAGCTGAAGTAAAAGCTTTACACTGAAGCTAATTAAATGTAAAAAAGAACATGCACATGCATTTCTCTTCTAAGAAAAATCAAGAATTAATTAAGTATATGCCTGTAAGTGCTTCAGGGTTTGTTGACCCCGAGTCTGGCAGACATATATCTAAATCTAAAGATATAAAAGTTGTGTGCAAAGGCAGAAGTCTAAACCTGTAAAAGTAGTATATTTATCAAAACTGCTTGGACTCGACTTTTGACTCTTTCATCCTAAGGTCACACCAAAGACTTAATTAAATCATATCGTGAATTCAGAACACTTTGCAGTTCTGAAATATCTATAAAATGATGACATAATGACGTTACATCAACAAACTGTAGTAACCCCCCCCCCAAAAAAAAACAAAAAAACAAAAAACAAAACAAACCCCAACCCAATAACACCCTACTTGATAAGAAAAAAAGACCAGTTTGTTCGTCTGTTTTCAAATTTTACAGAGCTATTGATATTGTTGAGTCTTGTGTTAGTGTTGACCACTGATCACCTAAGAGGTGGTGAATATCAGCACTGTCCTACAGAAAGGTGAGCAGTTTTATTGTACATCGTTATAACTATAACTACAAGACAGAGATGAGGTGACAGAGTGTTACAGTTTTCTAAACCATCTCTGAGGTATACAATAATTTGTGTAAACACAGTTCTGTGTTCTGTCCTAGAACTCTTGTGATGTTTTGAAGTGACAAGTCTCTTGTCATTACGTTTTTCTCCGCTTAACTTTGATGTGTAAACAATTTGGTTTCTCTCTTTTTTGAGAAGTACATAAACATACTGACAGCTAATTCCTGCTGTGAAATTTGAAAGCAAAATAACAGGCAGAAAACACAAAAGGAAAAATCAAGAAGTAGCAGCATCTCCAGCCTTGCATTCAAAATAGAAAAAAAAAGCATTGTGCATGTGGGAAGGCTTAAACATCTAGATGTGATTGCAGATACAATCAAATTCTGAAAGTACAAGCAATAGACAGTTCTAACATGCACCCCCCCTAAAAAAGGAAAAAACAAAATAGAAAAAAGAAAAGTGAAACAGAAACAAAACATAACAAACAACACACACAAATACACAAACAAAATGCACTTTTCGCCAAGTTCCAGTTTGTTTGAAGGGACACGTTTCTTAAAAGTAGAGCTGTCTAAATCCCGCTTTAGATTAAGATGTTCTTCCATTGACTATACTGACGCTAGTGTTCAAAGACACAGCGCAGTGATTCTAGCGAAGCTTAAAGTCATACAGCTAACATGCAGCAGCATGATACCTCATTCTTAGATTCATGAATCTGTCAACTGATCAGTCAAGCTGACTCCATCTTCATGAACACATACAATCTCATGATGGATCAAAAGCATAAAATAACAGATTACACTAATGAATCAAGACTAGCAAAGAGGGAAGTCAGTGCTTCTTTCTCAGCTTAAACACATACGAAACAGTCAGAGAACAAACGATTTATCTGATTTTATTTACCTTCCAGATATTTTCACATTTTTTCTGTTCTCTTCATACACTACTTTTCCCTGACCTGGGATTCTTTATGCCTACATTTCATAACAAAACCTTTAGAAAAATTCTGTACCTAAACAGACAAAAATGAGGCTCCACTTGCAGAAAAGTATACACTCTAAAAATCGCCAAAATAACCTTTTTCAGGGTAATATAAAATACTGTTAGACATGTATGATTTCAAACAGAAAAATGAATATATTTTAGAATAAGAGCATGTGAAAAATATAAATGTCACTATTTCCCAGCTTTGTTCTCAGAGAGGCTTTAGCCTCATTATAATTTATTTTGAATAACATAAGACGTAAAAATAGATTGAACATACAATATGTTTACTTCAATTTTTGGGCCCGGGGGTGGGATGGTGGTGGTAATAAAGAGAAATGTGAAAGCAAAATAAACAGTAAAACCACTTCAACTTCACTAATGACATATCTTTTGCATTCATAATACAAACAAATTGCAGACTGTACAAAACACTAAGCCTTTCAGAACAAATTGAGGTGAAAGTGGTCTCTCTCTCTCTTTTTTTTTTTTTTTTTTGTAGACGAAATGATACTGGTCTATTTATAAATGTTACAAAGCTGTTCTTGACCGAAAAAAGAGACAGCAAGATGAATCACTCACCATGTGTGAGGCAGCATGGTGAAATCAGGCGCTAATCAAAATACAGGAATTGGAGAAACAGACATTTTTCCACCAGTTTGGACATTTTTTTATCGAATTTTTATCTTTGGGCTCAACCTCTTTAATGTCCATATAAAACACATTTCCAAGTGAATTTTACTGAAACACATTGATTAAGGGTACAAAATATGTCATTTTTCAGTTTCCAAAGACACTTTAGCTATTGGATTTACCAAACTTTGGTGGCCATTTTCTCACTAATTTCACCACTGAAACCAGGCGACCTTACTTCCTTCAATCGCAAATATCTTGAGTTCTATTCAAGACAGATGAATTATTTATTTAATTGGAACAAGGCAAATAAATCAGCTTTCAGATGATACCAATAACTCCACATGCCTAAAAATTGATGAGTGCCTGATTCCACAATGTCGGGACAATAATGGAGATTTTAAAAAAAGAACTGCCTAAATTATGTTTATACATGTTTTCACTCAAAATCATTTTTTATCCTTCTCAATATGTTCACAAACTTTAGGAGCTGAATTTTGTAAAAAATCTTGGTATTAGCTTCTTTATCAAATCCAGACAATATATATTACAGAGGAATTTGACAGGGGGAAAAAAAGAGTAAGGGTTTTATTTTTTTCAAGAATGGTAAACGTAAAGAAAGATGTTTTTAAGAAAATGATTACAAATTGAAACAGTCACATTATGCAGAACAATTGCAAATAAACAGAACAAAATAGAAATATTCAAATGCCAAAGTCAGCAGAAACAGCAAGATTTAACAATTTGCTTTGATATTCCCTTTGAAAAAGTAACAGTGTTAAGAACCTGAGCATGCTTCATCATCATAGCATAAAACGTGAGCGATACAAAAAGATATGAGGGCCATTATATAAAAATAAATTGATGCTCAAAGTCTTTGGCATTTGTATAGGGAATGTACACACGCAGCTTGGATTCCAAAGACATTATTGTGACTGGTGCAAACTCACTCCTTTTCCTCTAGAAAAGATTTTTCCCGACTTTGTTTATTCAGCAATCCTGCTTCAGTAATGTACGGCAAAAAAGCCCCATCTCTTCTGTGATAAAGGAAATTAATGAAGAGATGTGGTACTGCTTCACAACAAAACGGAAATGTAAGTTTTAAAAAGAATACATAATGTATCCATCTCCCATCACCCCATCCCCCTTTCCATGCACACACACACACTCACAAAAACTTGAAATTATGTCAGTAAGTCCAACAGTCAAAAATTAGACACACGCACACAAAATGAGCAGCTGTTTCTTAGTTTCTTAGCACTGGGGATGTAGACGCAAACCTAAATACAGTCAAACCTGCTCTAGAGGTCACATGTCCAAGACAATCATTTGTACAAACAACCACTTCCCATCTTGTTTGTTTTTTTCTTCTTTATCATAAAGACACTGTCTAAAATGTAAATCAGTCTAAAACAACTACTTTTTTCGTTGACAATGAGTGGCCATCTCGGACAGTTTTGACTGTACATCGCAATAAAAAATTATAGGAGAATGTGAAAGAGAGCTCAAAATGACAGCATTATGAAAACTTCACATTGGCGATAAAAACTGAATCAAAGCTATCATTTTCAAGTACACTCTTCCATCTGTGTGCTGTGTACTTAGAAAACACTTCCTTGTGTCAAACAGCTTTGCTCAAAGAAAATATATATGCATTAGTAATTCCAAATTTAAAGAATTTCCAATTAACTTTCCATTATACCCACAGTTTTTAAAAATAATATAAAGAAAAAACCCCCCAACTCATTATAGACCTGACAAAACTGATTTTCAGAAATGTTTATTGCCAAAATTCAATTTTTCTGAATCTTTTCACATGCAAATCATTCTATAAAACTGAAAAAATAAAACATTAAATCCAAAAAGGTACCACAAAGTACTCCATCAACTACGTAAACAAGGGGTGGACAGTGACAAGAAACGGGAAGTCTTGAAACTAAAATAAGGCGAAACTTAGTTGTGTAGTTTTTTTTAAAAAGAAAAAGAAATCATTAGTAATCACAGAAAACAAACAAACAAAATGTTATTAAACATAAAAGGAAAAGAGAGGTGGAACTTTGAAAAAAGACTGTAAGTTTATTCTCTGCTTATGAAGTATTTGTAAAAACACATACTGAAATAAAAACTCGCACAAATTGCATCACGTCTTGGATAAGAACTATTTAAAAATCCAGTTGCCTTTATGCATTTGTAAGCTTGAGGGCTTTTATCCTTCAGCCTTTAAAAAAAAATAAAAAATCTTTTGTACCACAACCCCCAGCCAAAAAAAAACCCCACAGAGAGCGAACAGTAGCTGATAGAGATAGGAGTAGGTGTGAGAACTCAATGACAGTAGAATAGCATTGCCATGCCACACATTTGACATTATTCAAAATAAAAGAGGAAAGCTCAATACTAATAAAACCAGAACATATTGACTGAAACCTTGAAGTGTTTGGTTCTCAAACTTCACTGTAAGGAGAAGTAAGTTTTCAATTTTGAAGAGATTCAATTAGTTTACTACCCTTGCTGTGTTGGACATTTTCATAATTAGGAAAATAAGCAACAAGTTTGTTAACACAAAACAAACGTGGGGCCGTACACAAAAAAGTGAGGGAAAAAAATTGTAGAGAGGAAAGCTTAACAAACCAGCAAATGAATTAACATTTTCACACTGGTGAGAAAATTACCGTATAACTCCTGACTTATCCATGCCATTGTAAATTCTGCATTTAATAAGTTTCACACATAAACTTCATTTGCAATGCAACAATGAACAAGAATAAGAGACAATTTCTAAATGTTTCTTTATCCTTCAAAGGCAACTTTTGAACACTCTAACTATAATGAATCTTATTAGATTTATTGACCAAGTTATTAAATCCAAAGAGGTTTAAAATCACAAAAACAAGGCAGTCGTAACATTTTTTCCAGGGAAATAAACCAACTCAGAACTGAAAGAATAAGTAAAAATGATCAACTTTAAGTAAAAATATGGGTTTGAGTGAATCAAACGAAAATGAAAGAGACTGGCCTAGACTCCTGTGATGACTAGATTCACAACAGCAGGCAGACCACTGATACGCTTATAGAGCCCACAGGAGAAATTCCAACAAAGCACTGCAACAACAAAATCTTTACTGAAATGGTATCTGACTAGGCCATTGTGAGAAAGTGACCGAGTTAGAAACTAATTAATAAGATGAGGAGATTGAAATCTGACACAGACATCAGTCATGTTACTGAGCCAGGAAATACAAGCAACAGACCATTAATGATCTGGAGAACAGACAACAAGGAAAAGCCCATTAAATCAAGCAAGTTTATTGATGGTAATGGAAAAAGGAACAGACGAAATGAGGCATAGGAAAAGATACTGTGTTTAGTCCTGTCACATATTTCACATTTAAAAAATACATCCCTTTCAACAGGATTTATTTTACTGAAAGTAAATATCACATTTAAAAAATGAATAGCATCCTCCAGTGACAGAATAAGACAACAGCAGAAACCAAAGAATACATTTAAATCTCACAAACTCTAAAAGCAGCCCTCAGTTGTCAAAAACAGCAGTGAAAAGATCTGAGCAAATACGTCTCTAAGGTAACTGGAGATCTTATTTTCCAAAAGAAATCCTTGTTATTGAAATTAGAGCTAGACAAAGCAGAAATATGAACGATTGAACTAAATGCAGAAAAGCAAAAGAGACAACATGTCAGAAAAAATTAAAAACAAAAAATGTACATATTGTGATTATCTTACTTGTAAAATTAGTACTAAAAAATTGTTACCAATTCACAACTGAATAATTCACATAATATCAAACAAACAGAAAACTCCCATTTTTCAATAAATTACAATTGGATCTGTTAGCCCCCCAATACAAAAAGCTACAGTAGTGTTAAAAAGCATTATAATGTAGCATCATAAAAACCATCTAGCTCATGCCGCTTTTGGCAATAAACATGACCCTTTTACTCACCTCCTGGCATGCTGTCTGATCTGATCCAGTTCAAATGTTGTGTAGGGTCTCGGTGATTTTGACTTTGGAAGCCCATAGTTTGCTGGTATCGAGGGAATTGGGCTGGAAATAGATAGCAATGTCAGTGAGTCTGTGCATACAGGAACATGTCTAAATATAATTCAATGACTGACTTGCTTCTCTAACTATAATATCTCCAGGAACAATAAACTATTGTATGTTCACAGTATACAATCATATCTACTTGTTATTTCATTTCTTTGCATAAGACCAACATTTATGTACATTTGATGAAACATAAAAAACAATAAAAAAACCAGCCTTAAAAATGATCTTCTGTCTGTAAAGTGTGGAATGAAAAAAACAACCCAGTAAATACATAAGACAAAACAAATTGAAGGAAATAGTTTACCCATGAGGCATAACGTCAACTGGCTTGTCACAGGACAGGCAGTGGAATCTTTGAATGAGCTGCCTGTAAACAAGAACAACATTCATATAAATGTTCTAAGGAGAAAAAAAAGGCATTCCAGTTTCTAAATAAATTAATGCTGCAACTAATATAAACATAATATTCAAAAAAAGAGTCTCCCAATAACTAGGCTGTATTAAAAATTGTGCAGCCTGGTTCACAACTCAAATGGTTATTGCAGAAATTGTAACTGAAAAAGCATGAAGAAGCCCACACGATTCCACTCACTGATGCTTTACAGGGCTCTCCAGACATCTTTACGAAACCTCTACATATCTAAGTCTCATAATCCACCAGCAAAGACATGATATGAAAATGAAAAAAATTCATGCTTAACAGGGAACTGAATTGGAAAAACTTAATGAACAGGCTGGGTAAGCAAACCTCTGTGACATTGCATGAGGCTTCCAGGAGGGGAAACAAGATTGCAAACCATTACTATAGCTGACATAATCGTTAAGAAAACTATGTGAAAGACGCAAGGTTTGATAAAAGATATCACCATGTAAAAAGTCAATCTGAAAGAGCAACCTATGCATACAACAAATTCTAGAATATTAGACGGTAAGTATAATAAAGTATAAACATAATCTTTTGAACAAGGGAACACATCCTGTTATATGGAGCACAAAACATAAGGAAAACATAATTTCTGAATAACACCATCTTTCAAAAGTTGTTACCCTTACTAATTCAAAGGGGGGAAAAAATGTCTCACCTCTTCATGCCTGCTGCTTCATCTTCCAAGTTCCAACCTGGTCCCATAGACTTGATCTTGCTGTTCATCATCTTAAGCTGCTTCTCAAGCCAGTCCTTCAAGTTGCTCAGCTCTCGCCGGTCCAGCTTACCATCCAACTCTTCCATGGCCTTTGCAAGTGCAGACTTCCAGTCTCCTTCCTGATATTTCAAAAGTTGAATGACAGTGTTGAGCAACTTAGCATAAAATGTGTAAGTGCATGTGTGTGTGTGTATATCAGTGGACAGAGAGGAGTGGGGGGTGTGTTGTACCACTTGCAGAAGTACACAAGGTTAACAAAATGAGAAGTAAATTGGGAACTCCCTCTAAATAAATAAAAAATTGGTCGAAATTTCAATGTGACAATATAGTCTTCCAAGCAAGAAAATGACTCAACAGGGCATTAATTGCCATGTAGTTTCATAGGAAAAACAATGGAAACAGTATACAAAAGAAAAGGAAGAGAGACAAATCCACATAAAAAGTTTAATTACAGTACAGAAAAATCCTACAACAATAAACATGTGTAAGATAAGAAGAGTAAAAAATACTACAATAAAACAGGCCCAAAGACCTCACATATGACAGCTTTTTACATTAGCTCAAAATAGATACCTGTCCGTTCAGTTTATCCAGTATATCCTTGATCATTTTGTTCAGTTCATTTGTGGTACTGTCAAACAAACTGTGATTGACTTTACCCTCCAGTTGTCGCCTGTCAGCTTTCTGTACAGTAAGATAAAAAGGAGATCATGACTTGCAATGCAGATACTTGCTTGGGGGACTATCATGAAGGCCTACAAAATGGTCTGAACAGCATAAAATATTTTCAAAGGAGCAATTGCTTACATCTCCCAGTGCTTGACATCAGTAGAAAAGGTTCACCTCATAGCAAAACTATTCAACCAATCAAAACAGATCACTCAATAACAGAACATACGACCCCCTTTCTTCCTCTACAAAGAGTCTATAGAAAAAAAGCCCACTATAATTAAACCTATTTGAGTCATCTATCACTGTTCAAATCATTTGCAGTCTTAAAAAGCAACAAGAAAAACTTGAACAGAAGCAAAATCTGTTCCGTGTGGACCTGGAGACAAATATTTTTAAAAAATTGAATGCTTCAAGGAGGCTTTTTTCCTTATAGCAAAGGTCCCCCAAACCTGTAAAATCAAAGGCTACATCATAGCTTCAGTAACAGTCAGTTCAGACTACTCAAATGTGCTCCATGATTGGGACATGTATGTGTACCATAATTGCTGGACAACATTGAATCTATGTTGATAAAAGTCTAATAGGTATTAAAACCTTTTTTTTTACTGTTTCCAAGAGCAGTGTGGTGGCCCGATTGATGCTTGCAACATGCTGGCAGGTAGTATGAATATTGAACAGCGGCAGGGCTACAAAGGAAAGTGCCAGTGTGTATGCTCAAGGATATGCAGGAGGGCTGGTAAAAGTCACAGCAATGAGTTGTGGGGCGTTGGGGAAACATTCACACTGAGACTTACGAGACTTACTTGGACATATGGACACAAATTTACCGTCTGCAACAGAGACTTTGACTTACCACATCTACTTCAATGTCAACATACTCCTTGTCAGCCTTCTTTTCATTCAGACTGTCGCAGTAGTTCAGCAGATCCTACAAAGGCACAGGGGGTCACAAATAGAAGTACATGAATGGTCTGAACAGGGCTCTTACTAAAATTTATGAACATTTATCAGATCATATGCCTCAGAATACAGCACTTTTTAAAAAAACAACATAAATATGAGGCTTCGAGAAAAGTCCAAATAATGAGACTGTTGAACAGAAACAAAATGGTGACATTCTCATTGACAGTAGTAAGTTCTGGGTAATCAGAGTACAGTTTGTTTTCCATGTTCCACAGAATGTTGTATTTCAGTATTACAATCAATGGTCAAAACAATAATAAAAGTTACAAAAATCATTTAACTTTAAAAAATGATACTGAAAAACACATAGGTTATAAGCAAAGTAAAGTAAAACATAAAATAACAAAAATCATGCAATCATTTGTGATTCATGCAAAAAAGATATGCCATCAATATTTATTTTTTTCCAAAAATGATGAATACCGGTACAAGTAAAATTTGGTTATGTTCTGTGCCATGCATAATGGGTATAATGCATATGCTTCAACCTACGTACTCATATCTTACCTCGTAACTGTAAAAGTTCAAAGAACTTTCCCTTTTTAACTCAGCGTTGATAAATAATGGCAAAAAATAATCTGTCTTGACTCCACTTCCAAGGTTGCCTGTCTTTATATGAATATGGACTAGAAGCCATAAAAACCGAACCTGATTAGTCTGGAAGGAATCCATTTTACTTCTCAGTGCAACAGATACAATACAACAAGTTTTGTTGGCGAATGAGCAAAAAATTTCATCCAAGAATCTCTTTGAAACAAACAAAACATGTCACCTGAATTTCTTTAACCCTCTGGGCATTTTCCTCTATCACAGTTTCCATTGATTCTCGCAGCTTGTCAATGTCAGACTGCAACTTTTGCAGAGCTTCTTGCAGTCGCTTTAATGCAGCCTCATCCTATGTTCATGAGGGTAGCACCAAGCGCAACAGCAACAACGCCAGTAGCAAACAGAAGCGGCAAGTGAAAATAAATATTATTGGATTATATCATAACACTCCACAAACACATTCCCATGCCATGTAACAAACTACAAACTGCTATATTCTGGTGAACAAACCTCAATTATACTGCATTCTGCATGCTTTTGAGAAGACATCAAATTAATGAAAACCAGACACGAGCCAAATGTTATATAAATAGACCATTTTGTTGTTATCAATATCATTATTATGGTCAAGGAGAATCTTTCTTAATTTGAGTCCAGTCTGCTTTTCTAAAGATATTTGGAGATGTCACAGAATTTTTTCACACATAAGAATGCAGTATAATGCAAGCCAATAAGCCATTACTAAATCTTTAAAACATATATAAAATACAAACACAAAAAAAGCTCATCTTGTGATCAGTGTCCTTTAACTCTGATGCTGTAGAGATTGTCTTACTATTTCAAGGTACAAGAAGTAGCCTATGTCATTGTCAAGTAGAGACTTACTCCAATTTGACTTTTAATTTTTTAAAGAAATATTGCAACACAGTTATTGCAAAACACTGGAGGCAAACTGTTAGACTAAAACTATGATTTATATTCTTCAAATGAAATCATTTCAAAATATCTACGATCGATAGACTCTTTATAGACTTTAAATATTCTCATGCTTTGGAAAGAGAGGAGAACATAACTTAGGACAGAAATATTTCAATATTTATATAATGCAGAAAGGGTGATGAATGGGCTTTGGGCAGGCATTAAAGTGATGTATGGAAGGGAAAATATTGTGTACAAGTTGTTTAACATCATCCAGTAGATTCAGCAAAAGGATCTAAAAGACCACAGTAATGTAATAAGACAACTTTCCAACAATATCAAGATAACGAAATGTCTCACTCATCCAGATTTCCAGAAGAGTCAAGCTACAGAAGAATATAATTGCAGCAGAATGTATCTTATGGCACAACATCTTTAAAAAAATATATATCCAACTATGCTCTGCAAAAAGCTGAATTATTACTTCAAAACTCTGCCCCTATACGCCACCACACACACACACGCATGCCTAAAAAGTAGAATTTAAAAAATGGTCAACTTGTGACGAAACCTAAATTTCAACAAGTTATAATCATTGCAGGCAATTGTCAAAATAGAATGGGCAGAAATCAGCTTCTTTAAAAATTACTGTCTTCTTAAATACACTCACACACAAATACTAGCACACACTCAAGCACTCTCACACACACACAATTCATCATACAAACTCAAGAGTCAACATGAAAATACGAATTCTATGATGGGGACATGCATGTCAAAAGAAAAAAATCATATCTCAAAATATGTTAGTATCATGGGTAAGGGATTGGTAGGGAAATAAAACTATAAGCAAATTTTGTATTTGCTCATCTAATTTTTTTTTAAAATTGTAATTTCAGATCTTGCAAAAAAAGCAACAGAAATATCAACAAAGAGAAACAACTCTTTAAAAGCACATTTAAGCCAATTCAAGTCGGTATACTGCTGAAAGACACCCCCCACATAGATATAAGACATTGGCTTTTTTCGGCTAATATCTCCCCCCCTCCCCCCAAAAAAAGCAAACAACAGCACGGTACACAAAAAAGATGAGTGAACAGAGAAAGCTGTGGAAAGTGATTTCTTCATCTTTGGTGTTTCGATTTTCATTGTTGCCACCTAAACAGTGAAGCACTAGTTTGAAAAGTACATAAACAAAACTTTAAATGAAAAAAAGAAAGATTGGTAAGGCAAATTTTCCCCATCTCATTCTTCGTCAAGACATGCTGATTTTATCTTGATTTTCAACTTCACATCACGCATCTTCGACGAAAGCAACCAGTACATTGACCTCGAAGTCTTTTTTAGCTTTTTCCTTATAATTCAAGATTACTAGACACCCAACCCCACATACCCTAAAATGAGGTGAAGGAAAATGCAAAGTAAGATAACCCAACTATCCATCAACAATATGTGCATAAATCTGGTATGAACCAGGCACTCTGGTATAAGAGGCAAGCACCAAATCCTTGGTAAAAGAGACCCGAGAAATAGCGCAGGAGGAGGAGATTCTTAGTTGAAGTGTCAGCTGACCAGACATTGGCCTAACAAAATGTATGATGACTGACAGCAAAACAAAAGATTAAAAACAATCACAATCATGTACTTCTGAGTCAAATATTGATTAAAATATTCAAAAAGGTTTGATTAAAAGACACACTGTAGCATATGGTAGGATGAATACTATGTTATTTCTCTTTAAGACTATCATTACCATTTCTTCTGTACTCAAGACAGGTGATTATGAACGAGGGAAAGATGGCAAGAAAAGCAGTGAGGATAATTGTGAGTCTCTTTCACAATCTTTGCCAGTTGAAGCCACAATCATTGCAGGGAGGGTCAAGTTTGTCAAAATTGAAGGCGACAGAGGAGGAGAAAAAATTTCGACAGCATGGGGGATGGGCAGAGAGACCAAATCTTCCGGGGAGATGGAAAATCGTGATTCTTGTTTTTCAGGTCTCAGAAGGAGTCTTTTATGAGCTGGTGGGCCTTCAGATATATTTAAGTTAACTGGTGGCTCTAAGGAAACTGAGCAGGTTTGTGAATTTGCTTGAAGGACACTATTGGGTGCAGAACGTTCATGTTCTAATGCTAAATTAGGCACACTCAGGAGGAGCTTATCTGGTGCATTGTCATCCTTTTGAGAGTAGCAGGGGAAAAAAGGAAATAAACTGTAAGCAAGAGAATTAGATCTATATCCAGTTATTTAGATCTACTTTTCAGAAATATCCAGACAGAAAAACTAATCTGGACTTGGGCACTACATCCGTCTCTAACATAACATTTGCCAAGTCTTAAAAAATCTGTTAGTATGGAATTAGTGACATATCCCACACAGAAAAGCATTTTTATAAGTAAGAAAAGTGTAAAGCAACTAAAATGAATAAGTGGTAAGTTGTAAAACGGCAGTAAATAGAACATACATTTGAAATATTACAAAAAGTAAAAATAGATAATCTTCAAAAACATAAAAGTAAGACACAAAAAAAGAAAAACTAGATAATCCAAAAGATGTTTAAATTTCCAAATAGAGCATCTGTGATATGCAGGCTGCAATTTAATTATCCAGATTTGTCAAGTCTACATTCCATGGCAATAATATGTTACTATCTCTACAAAAATGGACTTTACCTTCAACTGTCCATCCCGAACAGCTTGCAGTTCCTCTTGCAAATTTTTCAATGTTGTAAGCAGGTCATCTGATATTCCTGGATTATGAGTATTAATAAAGCCGAACTAGGTATGTTGTTTACAATCTATCATTCCATTTATGCTGACCTCAAAAATATCAAAAAAGAAGTAAGCCAAACATAATAAGCACATAATTGTGGCTAATTTATACCAGATGAGCATTCTAAAATACTGGGAACGTTCTTTCCTACAGAATGCAATTGAGGTATAAATAATAGCCATGCATAACAAAGTAAAAAGCAATTCAGCAATCTCTAAATCTCAGAGATGCAGAAATTACCCCCCCCCCCCCCAACATACACACACACACACATAATTCAGAGGAATCTTTTGTGCTTCATAAAAATCTGTTTTTGTATTGAGCAGGTCGATATGGTCATTCACTATTAAGTAAGAATTTTGACATGAAGCCGTGCAATTTTCCTACAATATAAAGTCAGTGAGACCTCCCAGTTATCTATATCGTCAGGCGAGTCGACTACAGAGAAACAAAATGGGAACAAAATACATCTTACAGTACAATTAGCTGGTGATAGCAGCCTGGATCACAACTTGCCCAGAACGACGCTGAATTATCTTACAAAAAGCCTGTCACTGTACACCAAAACTAACAAATGTGTGTCTTAAAAGTGGAATTCTTTAAATGACCATTATTTCTGTTAATTTTCCTGAGCAAGATCTCAGAGCATTATTTTATGATAAACAATTGACAAATGCAATGGGCACAAGTACATACCAAGACCCTCAAGGTCAGCTTTGTTTGCCTTCAGCTCTAAAAGTCTCTGAGGGAAAAAAATGGACAGAAGAAATTAATAGCATTCAAGTCCAGATTGTATTTTCAAGTTAGCATGTAATTTGACAAACATGTCCAAGTTTTAACTGACAAATAAGTTTATTTCCAGATTTTGTTTCACTTTGCCAGATACAACGGTACTAGTTTCGGGCTCACCTCGAAAATGGCGTTTGTTGAATTTTTTCATGAGACTCTTCATATTATCATGAAAGCACAAAATTAGCTCAGTTGGCACAATACTGGACTGCAGTGTGTGCCACCCTGGTTTGCATCCCAAATAAGACATTTTAGTATAACTTTTATTATCTTAGATGTTGTCATTGCTCTCCACCAACATGGTTGTCTTACCTGAGAAGGATGCTAAATGGTGTATGGCAGAGTCTTACACTAAACAGTCAAAATTATGTTAAGTTTCCATCTCTTCACCCTATCTGTATGTTGTGTTTCACAATTGTATCCATACAAATGGGGGAACTCTGGGCCACCTCTTTCCAAAGAGAAAATTTACTCATTTTTCCGATCAGTACGCTTTGCATAGCAGTCTGTCAAAATGATTTTTTGAGAAATACTAAAAGTTTCAAAGAGATCTACGTACTAGAAATATTCTAAAACGTGAAGAATACAACCCCGGGGGTACAAAATGACCCCAGACGTACAGATAGGGTTAATCAATCAGCATTTGATGGCAATAGGCATTAAACCCACACTATACCAACCGTGATCTCATGAAAATAATTTAAACGTCATCCTCCATCAAACTCAAGTATAACTGATTCTTGATCTGGTCATAAAAAATTTCCAGATCGGTCCCATGCATATATTGAAAACACATTATCAAAGAAAAGTTTGCATACTGGCACTAGATCTAGCCCAAGTGGTGAATTATTAGGAAGAACACTTTTCGTAACTTTTTCTCACTTCACCCTGGTGGGAACAAACCATTTGAACAACATATTTTTATATGCCCAGAGACCTGCTTCTACTTCAGCAAAGCTTAGATGTGACTTTTACCTGCTCTGAAAAAAAAAGCTAGCAATAGGGATCAGACATGAGCACCAAGATTTTTTTCATATCAACAGTTTTTATAAATACTAACCTCCAGTTCATCCACCCTCAAAGTCAGTTTCGCATGTGCATCAGCCAGCTGTCCGAGTTTTTCAAGGACATCTAATAGCTCCGAGCTGGGACCAGCGCTGCTCATACGACTTCGGGCAGAGGAAGCCCTGGAGATCGGTCGCCCTGATGTGGGCCGACTTACAGGCTAATGAGTGCCGCAGAAAGAAGGAAAGACAAGTTCAATACCTTCACAGAAGTTTGATTTGCAAAGACATTACAACTACTTTTACTGCCATGATAATATTTCCATAATAGAATATACAAAACAAGTTTAAAAAATAATTTTTGAAAAGTAAAACCTCACATATCATTGTTTGTTGTTTCTCTGTAATGTCATGTTTAGACCAGTGCTAAATATGTCTTGCACCAGGGTCCACTCTTAAAGATGTAATTGTTAAACCTGTCAGCTGTAAACACAATTTTGCTTGACCACTGTCACAAATCATGCAAAGTATTCACTTAATGATCAAATACATTCCCCAAAAAAAGATTTAAAAATTGAAGAACTAAAAAGGACAATTTGATGCAATTCAAAGGCAGCCTAAAAAAATAAAACGACTTTTGGGTTTCAGAAAAGATTTTACAAATTGTTATGACTTATTTAGTCACATAAGAGTCACAAAACATATAAGGACAAAAGTAACTTTTGGCAGAATGAAGAGCAGATGCCATCAAATCGTCCAAAACACACACAAAAAAGACAAAATGATAATACTAAAGAAGCATAAAGATATTGAACAGAACACTAATTGAACTGAAAATAAAATAAGGTATATGATGAAAATAATCTTTAAAATACACACTGTGAAGAGCAGAGGTTTGAATAGGATCTAATTCTTTAAAATAGGTTTCTACGACTGTCACCAAAATGTCCCAGGTAAAAAAATACTCAATTAATGACAAAAAGAAAAGTGCTCATCATTTTAATAAAGTATAAATCATAAAGATCGATCAAAAAAGGAAAGAGAATAGGTAAGATGGCAAATATAGAGCCAACATGTTATGTATTTTGCTATTAAATAAATATTTTTTCAGTATCACTACAGAAAAGACCATCATACTTGCTACAAAGCAGTGGAGTAAGGGAAAGAACAAGGTGCTGCACAGTGGCGACCAGCAATAGCATGTTTGTGAAATTGTTCTGTATTGGTGTGATATTGTGAATTTACATATGTATTTATGTATGTACGTATTTGTAATTATTTGGCATTGTAATCCAAATTTCCCCCATGGGGATCAATAAAATGTCCATTTATTAATTTTTGTGTGTGTGTGTGTAAGGAAAAGAAAAAGATAAATTAACAGGTTGTAAATTTGATACAATAACAACAAAACACAAGCAAAAAAGATTGGTGACTGATGTCACCAAATTAAAATTTAAAAATAATGTAATATGAAAGGCAACACAGTTTACAATATGATTGATGATAAAATTTCCTTTTTTACACATGTTCACAGACAGTCCAAGAACTGACCAAGCAAGCAACATTTCAATACAGACAGAATACAAGAAACAAACTGTAAAGAAGTCAATCAAGGGTCCCACAAATAAACAAAGTAATCTGAATGTTCGAAACCAAAATGCTCTGTACCATCAGCTCAAGAGTTCAGTTTGCAACACCTTTTCCATTCCACATCTAATCATTGGGAAACGACACAAAAGGATATATTCTAAACAGAAAGTCAATGAACCTGACAAACACTTTTGTAAGTAGTGGAAAGCACATGTCTAGTGGGCAGAAAAAAATTAAATTAAAAAGCATGTTAAAATTTAGTTTAAAAAAAAAAGATTTATGTCAACAGTCAGAAAAGAGCACCAAGAAAATGTGCATGCATGCATGAATTGTTAAACAACAAAGTGCAGCAACCATACTGTGGGACTGTGGAAGGACACAGTTTTAGACTCTTTCTGTACCTAATTGTATAAGCAAAACACAAAACACTGTCATTACTTAAAAAATAGCTTCAAGCATTTTCAGCCACCTAAAGATTATCATTACTTCCATTCTGATTGCTTACACCATTCTATCTCCCATTCATCTCTCTCCGAGTGTTCTTCATTGTTCTTCTATCAATCTCTCCTTTGAAAATTGAACTTTTTCATCTACAGCATGTACGGTCTTATTCAATACCAGACAGTAATGACAGCCTACTCCATGTACATTAGCAAACCACAATGCACATTAGAAACGTAGCATGAACTGTCGTCAAGCTGAGAACATAATTATGCAAGAATAAGGTGTTGTTAAGATTAATTCTAAATTTTCAGATAATGCACTGTCAATGTCTGCATAAACAGGTCCAATTTCATTCCCACAAAAACAAATGTTTAAATTACAATCATTCAGCCATTATAATTGAAGCTCAAAACCAAGGGCAGAATTAAAAGAATGCAAGGATTGCATGTCAATAAAAGATCTATGAACGACTTTGAATTCATGAACATTTACCCAGGAAGGCAAAATGTCTGCATTGAAACCTGTCTCAAACAAATCCAATCTAGTTAGAAAAAGAAAATAAAAAGTGGTTGGGAAGAATAAGAAAAAGACTTGTAAACATACATACCGGCGTTTCTGTTTGGGTGGCAAGTTCAATAACAACTCTCTCCTCTGTGATTGGTTGTAGATTCTCAAAGTCTTGTCGAATTCCTTTCAGCGCATCCTCTAGACCAGGCCATGTTACAAACTGTGACACATACTGCTCAAGGTCATCAAAACCAGGCATGTTGGAGATCTTGTCATTGAAGTCATTGTATTTGTCATTTAGTTCTTTCTGCACATAGAAAAAAACAACAGAAACATACCTCTCATTAACATATATAAATGGAATCTAAAAAAGATTTATTTAATGACCAGTATGCATGATGGTGGCAATCTGCTCTAAAGAAGAGCACTGTATTTAGCAAAAGTCAACCTCATAGTTATAATATTTCATTAATTGTTCAAACCGTCTGATTAAAGGATTCTTTTCCATCTGAACTCCAAGTAAGCATTTCACTCATATCCCAACTTCTAAAATATTCCAGGGACATCTGTCCAACATGTAACATACTTGATGCAGTATTCATAATGTTCATACAGTTATCAAAAGAATGAATACCATGAGCTTAATGGTGAAAATCTTTGCTTATAAAACAGCAACAAAACCAATATGTGCAATGAACACAAAAAAAAGCAGCGACAACTTACAAATAAGGCATCCATATCATTTAGTCTTTTGTTGATTTCATCCAGATTTATCTGCAATAAGGAGAGAATTAAATCAAAGGTCACCAGGTAAAACATGCATTCTTAGTTTTAGCTTTAGTAAGAGTTTTAAGGCAATTGCAACACAGTAAGGTCATATAAGTGCCGAAGATTAGAGGTGTTACAAGAAAGTAACAAACACAAAAAAGAAGGATGGGAGATGAGGACGATATATGTTTGATAGGAAAGAAGGAGCAAACCACACCAGAACACCCACCAACCACCCACAAACATGTATTCATAAGCCATAATACACACTATATGTCTGAGAAAATGAATCAGATGAATCAGAGGTAAGATAGAACAAGGCGGTCCAGGAAAAAGTCTTTACAAAAATTATATTTCTTAAACAAAACTTTTTTAAAAAGGGCATAAAGGATATTGGAAATCCCATTGTTAACATGCGCAAGCTCAGTTTAGTTAGCATGCATTGATTATCCATGCACTGAAAGTGGAGCAGTGTAAATATGACCCCAAAAGACCTTCTCTACACTTAAAGATCTGCCCATCCAGTAATGCTCCCTCCCCCACCCCCACGATCAACTTAAACCATTATGTTTGTGCTCTCAAACGTACCCAGCATCCCTGTCTTGTGCTCCCTGATTTTTACTTTCAATTTAATATTGAATCTATTAATCTCACCCAACTCATTCTATCAACTATCCTAGTCTGAAAATTGCTTCAATGTTTTTGCCAAGGCTAGACAGCTAAAGTAGATAGAGGATCTTGACCATTTGACATTACACTATGCCTGCTTCATTTAATCATCATCACCAAAGAAAATGGTTTAATATTCACGTTACTCATATTTTAGAGGTTTGGCAGAGACAACAATATCAGGACTACCCTGTTTAAGAGGAATCCATGTTTCTGAATAATGTAACTTCTATAGCACGGTAAAAAATTAGTGGTGCAACTTATCCTAAAATATTTCTTTAACAAGAGAATCAATGTCACCCACATTTTGCACAGTAGTTTGTAATCATATTTTTCTATAACAATTGAGACTACATTAAAATTTTTTAATAAATTTATATAAAATACTACAAATCTCCGTCACGAGAAAAATATGACTGTTCACAGCTCTTTCCGTTTCTCACACACATTTTGTATACGTGTGTAGCCTACGTCACAGCTCAACAATGGCAATTTTCAGCGACAAAACTTGTTACAAGAAATAAGTCTTATAGTGAATATTTTTTTTGCACTAAAGGTTCTCAAAACATGTGTTCAATACGCATAATGTGACCATTAAAAAAAAAAGAAAAAAAGATGGACTTGCTTTTAAAAGTGAAATTGTCCCAGCTGTAAACCTTTTAAAATCTGTTTTTAAAAAAACACACCCACTTGGACTTTTAATTAGTATCTATTAAGGAATTTTTTAAAATACAGCTAACAAGTGTTTACAAAAGTATTGATCTCTGTTAACTGTTAAGACAAATTAATGCAAGTCATTGTGCAAAAGTTGGAGAGTCGATGTTCGTAGTTGAGGAAATATTTGACAATAAGTTGCACCACGAATTTTTGACCACCGTGTAGTTTGGCCTGCTCCACTGTATAATAAAGTACAGAGGTACAGAGACGAGGAAGGGGAAGGGGGTGGGGGGTAAAGGTGTAAAGCAAAGGGTAACTGTGTGGAACGAGGCCCCTCATAATACTTACACCATTCAGTTTATCCATAATGTCTTTTTGTGCATTCTTCAAGTCTTTCATTTCCTTCATCAAGTCTTCAAACAGGGACATGAGCTGTAAAAAAATAAACAATGAATAAAAATCCAATTTGAGTTGCATAACAAAATGTGATACGAAAATCTGCATGGTACAACATAACATGTAATCAGTTACGGTGGGTGAAAAAAACCAAAAGGTAAACATCACAAGGCTAAAGAACAAAATGACAATGACAGATGATAAATGTAGGGTTGGTTTTAATATAATCAAATTCAACAATAGAAACTCTTCGAACGGGGAAATCACACATCTGTCAAAGTGTGATTTGGAACCGCCATAGAACTAAAAGATAAGCAATCACAAAAATAACAACAATCACCCATTTCTAACACCCGCAATGTGAACAAATAATTAATTAAATGTAAAACAGATCAAAAGCCACAGCCCCACCTTAATTTTTTGTATTGTCAACAGTCCCTCCTGCTAACACAAAGCGACCCATAAGGAAATTATGCACAATAGAGTGTTCTTTTTTTATGTAGTTTCTATCTATTCTAAAGAAAATAATCATAGCTATTTTTAGGAATGAAAATGGGCATGAGAAATGAGAAATAATCAGCCTCATCTGCCACCTCCCTGTGGTGTTGCAGCGACACTATTAATATGCTAACAAATTGAAATAAACCAAATTCACAAAGCCTAAAAAAAGACATCAATGTCCCAAAACACCAAAAAAAAGACAGAAAAAAGAACTCAGATAGAGAAATGGCTTCCTACGATCCCAGCTTTTGTTCTGTTGTAGCAGCTCCGTGTGCAACAATACAGAGCAAGAACAACAATAACAGTCCTTATTTGAGCGGGTTCGAGTTTGAGCAAAGAGAAACACATCGACACAATAATGATCATTTAGAGCAGGGAAAAAGTAAGGCAGTCAGACAGAAGCAACACAGGAAAAGAATAGAGTTAAGACCAACCAGTAGCGCCCTCCAACCACCCGCTACTTGAGTGGAGTAAAGGAGACGTACAAGTGCATGTATATCAACATTGTAACAGCTGTCTAAAGCGATGAAAAATTTGGACAGACAGAAAAAGAAGTGGGATGATAAAGGAGAACCAACCTATGAGACCCTTCACAACAACATCACAAAAGTAACAATAACAAAAGAAGGATTAGATCTAGTTTCAGTAGCAGAACCCCCCC